TTTGGGCCCCCCCCTCCCCCCCCCAAAAATTGGGTTTTTTTTTTTTACCCCAATCCCCCCCCCCCCCCCCCCCCCACCACCACCACACACACACACACCTGTCCCGCTCCATCCTCAGCTCCTCCAGCCTCCCCTTCACCTCCCGCAGGTCTCCCTGCATCCCCTCCACTACAGCCTCAAAGGCGCCGGTCACCACATGCTTGTCGTGCTCCAGGGCATCCACCTGGGGCAGGGGTGTGAAGCCAGGCAGGAGGCTCAGTAGTGAACAGCATGTGTGTGTGATATGTGGGTCGGGTGTGATGTGTGTGGGTTGGGACTTGCACCAGCAGCAGCTAGCGCGCTGGCAGACACGCCCAGCGGCGGGAGAGAAGCTGCTGTCACGGTCTGAGGCGGCACGGCACAGCAAGGCAGGCAGTGACTCTGGGGCAAAGCGCCAGTGACCATCCGACCTTGCACTCCAGAGCGTCTATGAGATCTGCCTTCAGCAGCAGCTCCTCCTTCAGGGCCTCAAGCTCCTTTGTGAGGTGGGTGGTGAGGGCTGCAGAGCCCTTGGGCGTGCTGTGGCAGCCGCCGCCGCCGCCGCCGCCGCCGCCGCCGCCGCCAGGTGAGGTGGCTTGCGGCTGCCGCCGACCGCTCCCGCCCGGGTAGGGCGGCAGCACTCGCTCCCTCACTCCTGCCTGGCCTGGGCTGCAGCGGAGGCCCGCCCTCAGCTGATCTGGGCTGGTGCGCTGCGCGCCAGGCGAGACGGTCGCCCCCTTGGCAGGCGGGCTGCCGCCCGCGGCCGCCGCAAGCTTCGGAGAGCCGCCGACCGCGGGTAGCAGCGCTCCCCTGGCTGCCGTGCTGGGCGACGCCGGCTGCTGCTGCGCATCGTGCCGCTGGAAAGCAGGCGGCGGCAGCAGGTGCGGGGGCGACAGCCCAGCAGCCAGCTTGCTGTCCAGGCTGCCAGCGGCCACCGCCGCCTGCTGCACCTCGCCATCCGGATGCCCCTGCTGCTGCTGCTCCGCCTCCTCGTTCACAGTGGAAGGCCAGGAGTCCTCGTCGCGCGGCTGCTGGGTCAGGTTGGCGTTGGCCCAGGGCTCCCCGCCCCGCCCTGCACCACACAACGCGAGCAGCTCCAGCGCTCATGGCCGACACAGATCGAATGCAGAACCAGCAGGCACTGCGTTCCCCAGCAGCACATGCCCAGCGCTGGTCTTGATGCATGCACCAAGGCAGCAGCAGCAGCGGCAGAGGCTTGTGCTTGCCCCAGCCGCCGGGAGGGGCAGCCGCCGGGTGTGCCCGCCCTGGCGGCGGTACCGCCGCCAGGCACGCACCTGGTATGAGGGAGGCCCACTGCATGCGCAGCGGGCCCAGGAACCACAGGTGGCCGCCGCCGTCCCTCACAAACTCGCACACCAGGCCCCGCAGCGTCAGCAGGTGCGCCTTTTGCACATACTGCACCAGGCCGTGCGCCGCCTTGCGCATTGCCATCTTGAGTGAGGGGTCCACGGGGCCAAGGGTCTTGCTCAGGCTGCGCTCGCTGTCGGCCAGAGCGCCGTCGTCCAGCCCCTCACCCTCCTCCGCCTCGCACACGCCGCCGCCTCCCTCTGCCGGCGCCGCCGATGCGCCTCCCTGTGCCGGCGCCGCCGCTGCGCCGCCAGAGCCGGGCGCTGGTACTGTCGATGCCGCTGCCGGCACTGCAGTGGCAGCGGCAGGGCTGGCGGGGCCGGCTCGCGGCATCAGCTCGGGCGTGGCCTGCCGCGGCAGCGGGGCGCCGGCGGCCAGGGCGCCAGGCGCGGGCAGGAAGCCGGTCTCCCGGTAGGCCAGGTAGCGGCGGCTGAAGTGGCGCTGGAAGGTGTGGCACGAGGTGGCGGCGCCGGTGTTGGTGAAGGAGGTCACAAAGCGCAGGTCCAGGAAGGGCACGGGGCAGGCCTGCACTCGCACCAAGCCAGGAAGCAAAGCGTGGGCAGGGCAGGGGGCGGTGCCGTGGCTGTTTTCCTCCTGCTGCTATGCTCTGCCCGTTCTCCATGCCGCTTGCCATCCTGTGTGCTGTGCTTGGCAGAGACGAGCACCTCTGCGAAGTCCTTCATTCGGGACAGCAGGCCTCCCTGGCCGTCCCACCTGGAGCACGCACGGTGTGTGCTCGGGGGCGCCTGCCTCCCCAGCTTCCAGCTCCGCCGCCATGCGCTGGCACAGAGCGCCCAGCGCGGCCCGCGTCAGCAGCTTGGGCACGCCGCCCTGCAGCCGCATGACCGCCACGTGCTGCGGGTAGGCGCCGTGGCTGTCCAGGGAGCAGCTCAGCAGGTGCTGCCGCACGTCCTCCATGCTCGCCAGCGCCGCAGAGCGCTGCACAACATAGCCCTCCTGCATGGTGGCGGCGGCGGTGGCAAGTGGCCGCAAGCGGTGGGGTGTTGGATGCAAAGTTTAGTCTGTGCCTGGCATGAAAAACACATGCTGCGGGTCGTGGCAGGTGGCTGGCAGGGAACACACAAATGGCAGGAGCAGAGGTTTTCGTGGTGGCGGCGAGTCGCGGCGGCGCACCGTGTTGGTGGCAAACCAGGCCAGCGGCTGGCCGTGCTGCAACACCAGCGTGTCTGGCAGGTTGAGGCGCAGCTTGAGCCCGCGATCCTGCAGGCATGAGGCGGGGCAATCACAGAGGCTCCGCAGCTATGCTCCTGGTGCCAGCACTCCACCGCCGTGGCGCCGCCACCGCACATTGGACAGCAGGGAGAAGAAGGCGCTCCAGTCCGTGCTCAGAGCGTCGTAATCGACCGTCCCAGCCATTCCGCCGCCGGGCCGAGGGCCAATTCCCGCGATGCAGGCCAGTCAAAGTGTGGGCATTGGCGCAGCCTCAAGACTGACAACCCGCGCTTTCAGGCTCAATTGGTACGCGGTAGATGCGCTGGACGCGACTTTCGAGGAAACAAGGGTGTGTGAGCAGCATTTGTACCTCCGCCGCCACGCCGCCGCAGTGTGCGTACTGCCGCCCTTGCGGCGCTTTGCCAAAGAGAGGAGCATTGAATTAATATTCACTGAGAATGCAGTGCCATGGGAGAGGGTTTTCTTCTCGGGTAGGCAGAGAGCAAAATTTCAGATAGGGGTCGCCAACCGCGGAGCGGCGGCGAATACAAGGTAGGGCTGTAGCGCCGGCGTGGCATGCCCACGCCAGGCCCCCAGCACAGGGTCGGTCCGGCCGCCGGCGTCAGAGCCTGCACCTCCACACAATTCGGTGCGGCTGTGTAATGGCTGCCGCGTCACATGCGCTCGCGAAGGAAGAAAGGGTGCACTCAGTCCCGGCTGCCAAAGATGGAGCCCAGCGCGCTCTTTTTGGCGGTGCCAGCCTTCTTAGGGGCCGCCTTCTTGGCGGTGCCCTTCTGCACCGGAGGCAGCAGCAGTGGAGCCACGGGCGTGTGAGGGGGGGCAGGCAGCCAGCACCAGGGCAGTGCGGAGGCAAACAAAAGCAAGCGCGCGACGAGCGCACGGCGTGGGCGGCCTTGGGGCCGCGGCACGACTCCAGCTGGAGCCGTGCCGCTGCCTGGGCCGTCGCCGCGCCGCCGCACCTTGGCCACCGCGCCGTTGGTGTTGCTGCCGCCGTAGAAGGGCGTGTCCTTGAGGCCCGGCGCGGTTTCGTAGCCAGCGCCGACCGCGTTAGAGTCCTTTGCGCTCCACTCCGCATCCAGCAGCTCGGCAAACTTGGGGTCGGCCTTGGCGGCCGCCGCGCCAGCACCCACCACCGCAATCACCGACAGCGGCAGCACCAGGGGGCGGAAGGTCTCAAAGGCCAGACCGCCCGAGGAGGACGACTCCTCCTTCTTGGGTGCTGCCTTCTTGCCCGCGGCGGGCTTGGCGGCGGCGGGCTGGTCCTTGACAAAGTTCTTCACCTCGGGCTGCACCAGCACCACGCCGGCCTCCGCGGGCCCGCCCACGGACAGCGCGGCTGCTGCCAGGCCGGCCGCCAGGAGGCGAAGCGGCGCGGCCGCGGGGGCCGCCTCTGCGCCTGCACAGGGTAAGCGAGGGGGGCGGCGGCGGGGGCGGGTCAGCCCTCCCGCAACCGATTGGCGCCGCCGCTGCTGGTTCTTGCGGCCCCACAATCGCAAATGCGCCGCTGCTGCGTGCCGCTGCCCTCCATGGGCTGGGACAGATGCCCCTTGCACCATCGCCCGCCCATTGCCGCCATCAAGCACAATGCCTACTCACGCTGCTGCACGGCGGCCACGGGCACGGCCCGGCGGGTCCGGCGGGCCTGGGCCTTGGCGCCGGCAAACGCCTGGCTCTTCGCAACAGCTGCCGCCACCATGATGCTAGGCCGTAGTCTAGGGTATGTCGATCCGATGAACAGGGCAGGCGGTGGCAGAGGAGGGCCCTGCCATCACCAGGCTGCCAGGCAGGATAAGCCATGCAAGCATGCAAGCGACGAAGGGGGAGACTCTCAGCTCCTTGCATCTGCCAATGTTGGATGACAGGAAGCAGTTGGAACCCCCATCAACGCGCCGCGCTGCTCTCGCACCGGAGGTGCGCCTCCCTCGCCGCCGCCCGCCACCAGAGCCTACGGCACCATGCACAGCCAGCCAGCCTGCTGCTGCTGCTGCTGCTGCTGCTACAATGGATTCGTGGGTGGGACATCATTGGATGTGTTCTGGCAAGCAGCACTGCGCATTCACTCCAGCGGCTGCCGTGCCCACGCGGCGCACACGCCGGCCGTGGCGCCGCGCGAGCGGAGCGGGGCTCTAGCATGGTGCAAAGATTATATAACAGAGGTACAGTGATTGTAGTGGTGTATGCATGTAGGTATCAGAAGAGGTAATTGCAGCAGCAATCACAGTACGCACGCCCCGACCAAGCCAAGCTCACCCAGCTGCCGCCAGCTCCATGGCCGACGCCTCCCGCTGCTTGCCGGCGTGGCTGCCGGCGTGGCTGCTGGGCGCGGGGCGCCGGAACCGCTTGGCTCGGGGCATCACTCGGTACAGGTTGAGGAAGGCCAGCAGCGCCTGCCGGGGCGGGAGCAAGCAGGAGAGGCAAGGTCGGGGCCAGGGCGTCGAGAGGCCGTGGCAGCCGCCCAGCCTGCTGCCCAGCCACGCACGCCCGCCGCAGCTCGCTTCCAGGCGAGCTGCCAGCCCAGCAGTCTCCCCACCTCCTAGGGCGGAGCAAGCAGGGCTGGCAAGCTCAGGCAGGGCCTCACCAGGGCCAGGTAGAAGCAGTCCAAGATGACAATGTCGCGGGTGAGGTCCGAGGCGTTGATGCCGATCGTCTCCAGGAACACTGTGCCCCGCACATTGCTGGCGGCGGCGTAGCCCTCGAGCTGCAGGCGGCGGGACGGGTGGGCGGAGTGTGGGTGATGGGGGTGGGTGGGTGCCTGGGGCGGGGCAGGGGACAGGGGCGGGGTGGAGCGTGCGGGCCAGGCTCGGCTGCGGGCGAGTGGTGTGGGGTAAAGAGTGCGGGGCCTGCCACGCCGGGAACCTATGCCACGCCCCGCTCCGCCTCTCTCGGTCTCCCTCTCTCTCTCTCTTTCTCTCTCTCCGTCCCACCTGCTCCCCCCCCCTCCTCCCTCCGGCCTCTCCCCAGCCACCGGCGCCCCCAGTCCCCTGCCCGAGGGCCCGCCCACCGCAAAGTCGATCTTGATTCCCGTCATCTCGTTGATCATGAGGGCGGAGTAGGCGTAGAAGAAGATGGAGAGCCAGTGGGTCCACCCAATCCAGGCGGGCATGCTCTCGGGGTTGACCAGCATGCCTGCGGGGGCGAGCAAGGTGGTGGTGTGTGTGTGCTGAGATGTGGGACACCCTGGCAGGGTTTCAATTCTATGGAAAGTGCTGCAAAGTTTGCAGCACTCTTGCTTGCAGCACTCTTGCTAACGTACGGACTTAAACCCTCTCAAACAAGGCGGTGGAAGGTGGCAGCGTGCCGGCCACCTAAAGCGGGCTGCTGCACACGAGAGGCAGCAGCGGCGGCGCGCCACGCGGCGGCGGGGCAAGCGGGAGGCGGTGCGCAGCGTGGCAGGGGCGAGGCAGCCGGAGCGGCGGGCAGCGGGGGGGGAGGGGCGCACCCGACACCACCACCGACAGCAGCAGCACGATGTTCATCACCAGGCTGGCCACGCCCGCGGTGCTGCTGCCCACGGTCACCGCCAGCGACAGCGCGCCCACGGCTGCAGGCGGGCGCAGGGGCGGGGGCGGGGGCGGGGGCAAGTGAACGCACGGCAGGCTGGCAGATCGCCGGGAGGCACAGGTGGTCTGCGAGTACGTGCTGCGCAGCCGCAGCGCAGGCGGCGGCCCAGGGAGCAGCCTGGTGTGCCCCCCCTTCTGCTCATCTGCCTGCCCGCTGGCCTGCCTCTCACCACCGGCAAAGGAGGCGAGCACCATGAGGAAGGTGGCGATGGTGGCAGACCCCGTCTGCAGGCCCATCTGCACACCGAGCGAGGGACGGAGGCCAGGGGGCGCGCCAGCCGGGCCGGTCAGAATGCGCCACCGCTGCGGCCCAACACGCGCCGCCTCCCACACGCAGCCAGACAAACGCACAGCGCACATGGCAAACAAGCACTCCCAACACACGCACACGCACACACACACCACATGAACACCCACCATGGGGTAGAAGGGCGCCGAGAATATGAAGACGGGTATGACCCTCAGCAGCAGCGCGTCCAGCACCATCTTGGCCAGCAGGTAGGTGGCGGGGCTGTAGTAGCCGCCTGCGGGGGCGGGGGCGTGCGGGGGCGGGAGGCGGTGGCGATGAGGCTGTGCCTCGGGCTGGCAGGCGGGGCTACGAAAGACGGGCGTGCGCATTAGTAAAAGGACAGCAAAACGTCAACGAGGCAAGGACGTCTCTCTCTCTCTCTCTCTCACCTCTGACCTCCCGCATCACCATCTTGCGCTCCATCATGAACAGGTCCACAGTGGTGAGGGAGGTGAAGGCGAAGAAAGAAAGCACGAAGAACATGCCGCCTGGGGAGGCGCACGGTGGGGGAGGAGTGGGAGCAGGAGCAGGTAAAGCCGAGGCTGTTGGCAGGGCTGAAGACCCGGGCAGGCAGGCGCCCCAGAGGGGACCAAAGCCGATCCCGGGTTGCTACCCCTGTTATCCACGACGCAAGCCCTGCCGCGGCCCCAACTCCACCGCCGGGCCGCACGCCGCGCTCGGGCGCCGGCCGCTGTCGCAGGCCTCCTGTACCTCCTGTACAGACAAGAGAGAAAGAAAAGAAAAAAGAAAGAAGGAATAGGCTCACCTACGCGGTTCTGTGCGCCAGACACATCAAAGGTGACGTCGAAGAACACGGCCCCCACAAACACGCCCATCAGCAGCGCCAGCATCCTGGGGCAAGGGAGGCGGGGGGGCACCCGTCAAGTGAGGTTGCGTGTGTGTGCGTGTGACTGTGTCTGCATACGTGTGGCTGGCTGAGCGTGGGGCCGGGTTGGTAGCGCCCACAGCGACACAAGAGCCACTGCCGGTGGCCTGCCCCGGCGCGCTGCCCTGCACTGGTCGCAAGCAGGCGGCGCGGCGCCCCACCAGTGCAGCAGCAGCAGGGAGGGGTTTCGCAGGATGTCCACCAGCGTGCGCCAGAACACCACCGCCAGCTCCCGGCTCAGGCTGCGCCGCTGCCGCCGCGGCCGCCGCGGCTGGCCCTGCTCCGCCGCCCCCCGGCTGCTGCTGGCGGCCACGCTGGGCGCCGGGGAGGCGCCGCCGGCCTCGCCTGTCTCGCCGCCGTCCTCGCTGCCGCTGCCCAGCTTGGCGGTGCTGCCGCTGCCGCCCAGGCCGCCGTTGTCGGCATACCTGCCAGCCAGCGGCACGGGCAGCAAGCCGTCGGCCGCCGCCGCCGCCGCGGAATCGTCATCGGGAGCCTGGCCCTTGCCGCGCGCCGCCAGCAGCTGCTGCAGGCTGGCGGGGGTGCTGACCGCATCCAGCATGTGCTCTGCTATGGCTGTGTCCACAGGGCACGGCAGGCCCATGCTGGCAAACCAGCCCTCGGCGGCCGAGGGCGGCCCCGAGAACAGGCAGTGACCCTGCGTGGGCAGCCGGCCGGGGAGGGGCCAGGCTCAGGGCGCCAGCCAGGCCGGCAGCCACTCCCTGGGGCCCACACCACACACAGCACGCCCAGCAGCCAAGGCAGCAGGCAGCAGCAGGCAGGCAGGCAGGCATTGCAGGGCGGCGGAGCGTGCGCTGCGCTGCTCCGGGGCCGCCCCCCTCCCGTTGCACCCCACCCCATGCAGTGTTGAGCTCGCCTGTCCACCCCTCCCAGCCCACCCTACCCCACCCCATGCAGCTGAGCTCCCCCCTGTCCACCCCTCCCAGCCCACCCCAACGGCCACCCACCTGCGCCATGAGGTAAGCTCTGTCCAGAAGCGTGAACATGGCGGGGGAGGGCTGGTGGTAGGAGAGCAGCACAATTCGGCCGTCGCCAGCCACCTGCGCCACACACACAGCCAAGACGACGCGGCGCGGGGTGGTGGGATGGTGTGCGTGGCGGGTGTGGTTCGACGTGCTGCTGTGGTGGTGGTGTGCCAGCCAGTGCACCGCCCCAGGCACTGCAGCGGGCCGACGCGCTGCTTCCGCTGCCGCGGCTTCCCCGCAGCTTCCCCGCGGGGCCGCACCTGCTTGAGGGTACGCATGAGGTTGATGGCGGTGAAGCTGTCCAGGCCGCTGGTGGGTTCATCCAGTACCAGTACCGCGGGCTCGGTGACCAGCTCCATGGCGATGGTGACCCTGCGGTACAGCAGAAAGGGGGAGGGAGGGGGCGTGCTGGGTGTCCGCGCTTGTGCGAGCAGAGGTGGGGGTTCCCGGCGACAGGGTGGGCTGCCTGGCGTGCCTCCTGCCTGCCGTGAAGCTGCCGTGAAGCTGCGGGGTTCACGGCGCGGCGAGGGCGGCCCCTCTTCACGCCCCTCCCTGCGGGCCCTCCCTGCGGCCCCTCCCCTGCGCCGCCCACCTGCGCCGCTCGCCGCCGCTGACGCCGCGGATGCCGCTGGATCCGCCCACGCGGGTGCGGGCGACGTGGGACAGGCCCAGCTCCGACAGAACCGACCGCACGGCGGCCTGCACCTGGGAGGAGGTCGCATCGTGCAGCCTGCAGGGCGGGGTGGGCGGGCGGGCGAGGGGCGCGCAGGGGTGGGCACGGCGTCAGCCGTGGCGCACGACCACGTGTGCAGGGGACTGTGCAGGGGACTCGGCAGGGAGTGTGTGGTGTGTGTGGCCTGCGGGCCGCGCGTGGGGCGGGCAGGCATGGCATCAGCGCCGGGGCGCGGGCACAAGCAGGCGCGCCTGAGAATTGCGGAGTATCTGATGCACTCCTCGACGGTCAGCGTGGGCAGGAGCGTGTCGTCCTGAGCCACATACGCAATCTGCACGGCGAGAAAAAGAAACAGTAGCATAAGAGAATACAATTCATTGAGGCAGCAGGCGGGGCGCGCGGCGGGGGCGGCGGGCGCTTGACTGCGCTTGTGTGTGTGCTTGTGCAAGCCGGGAGGGACAGCGGGTGGGCCGGGCCGGCGCAGGCAGGCAGGCAGGTGGCCCAGGCCCAGCGCGGCCGCGCTGCGCCACCGCACCTTGCGCCGCGCGGCCGAGTGCATGGGGTGGCCGTCCAGAAGCACCGCGCCGCCCAAGGTGCTGCGCCGATCGAGGTCTTCTGACGACCCGGCCAGCATCGCAAGGAGGGTGGTCTTGCCAGAGCCAGAGGGTCCCATCACGCCCACAAGCTCCCCGCAGGCAGCCACCCCGCTGACCCCCTTGAGGATCTGCTTGCGGCCCGGCGGGTCCCAGGAAGCCGCCACGTCAGCAGCCACGTCAGCGGTAGCGCCCGCCGCGCCCTCCGCCGCCGCGGGTGCCGGCGCTGGCTTGCGCCGCCCGCAGCACAGCAGGCGGCCGGCGGCGGAGTACCAGGGGCGGCCCTGCCGGACAGGTACCGTACAGGACAGGCTGTCAAAGGTCAGCAGCTGCACGGGCTCGGCGGGCCGCCGCCGCACCGCCGCCGCCTCGCCGGCGGCGCCTCCGGCCGCAGCCGCCGCAGCCGCCTTGGCCCCGCTCCTGAACAGCGCGTGGTGCCTGCACGGGGGCGGGCGGGGCATGGCGCAGGCCGTCGGCGTCGGCGCCGTGCAAAGGATGCCGCAGGCATGCGCCGCAGGTTGGGCAAACCCCCCAGCGGCCTCTGATCCCGGGCTCAAAACACCTGCCCATCTCGCCCCACCATGCACACCCAGGCAAACGCACGACCCGCAGCCGCTGCAGCGGCGGTACCGTGTCCCCGTTACCTGAGCAGGTAGAAGCCCAGGAAGCCGGCCAGCCCTGCCAGTACCATCAGCGGTATGGCCGCAATCACGCCGTCATAGCTCTGCGACTGAGTGATCGTGTACTCGCCTGCAGGGAGGCGTGGGGGCGGCACGGGGCCGCAGGCCGACACGGAGGCGGGTCGGAAGCCAGGCAGGCTGGCAGAGTGCTTGCACGCGGGCGTGCTCAAGCAAGCACGGCCAACTGTCAGCGGCTGCCCCAGGCAGCAACACACATACCCTGCACAAAGGTGTAGCCGGGCACCACGCAGGCGGCGGTCTGGCAGGGGGCGACCAGCGTCACGAAGAAGTCTTGGATGTCAAAGGTGCAGAGACCCTGCGGGGGGCATAAGGGAGGGAGGCGCCAGGCTGTCAGCGCACCTACTAGTTCACGTCTCTCTCTAGAGAGCTGGTGGCCAGCTTGATGATTTAGCTTGTTAGTGCCATGGTGTGTTTGTTTCTCGCTGCAACTCCCTTGTTGCATTGCTGTTGTTGCATTGCTGTTGTTGCATTCCTACCTCGGGGGTGCAGTCTATGGAGCAGGGCTGGCCCTTGATGCGGTTCAGAATGCCCTCCACATCTGCGGCGGCGGCGGCGGCCAGCAGGCATGCCGGCATCGCGCAAGCGGGTGAGGGCAGGCGGCTGCGGGGGTGCGGCTGGCGCATGGGCTGCGGGAAGGAGGAGAAAAGGGCGCCGCGCCACACACACACAAACACACACACACACACACACACACACACACACACACACCGCAGACCCCGCACATATGCACACAAGCATCCCAGCCCGCCGCCCACCTGGGCACTCTGTCTCGCAGGCGCAGGTGGTGGTGGCGCAGTCTGTGCGGGAGGAGTTGGCCTTGAAGCCGCACTCGGTGGCGGTGCAGGTGATGGGGTTGTCCGCCTTGCCCGACAGCGCAAAGTGCACCTGGCAGAACTGGTCGGCTGTGGGGCGCGGGAGGGAGGCAGAAAGGGCGGTGTGTGTGTGACGCGTGGGTGGGGTGTGGCGGTGGGCATGTTCCGCTGGTGGCTGGTGTGGGCCTGGTGGTGGTGGTGGTGTGGTTTTGGGGGCTGGGCAGGCCGGGCAGGGCCTACAAGCAGCCGGCGCCGCCGGTGCTCAGCGCCGCCGCGCCCACCGGCGGCAGCGGCCAGCCATGCAGGCGGCGGCGGCGGCGGCGCGCCCACCTGTGCTGGCGGGGGCCTCCCCGTTGGGCAGAGCGCTGGTGTTGCACACCATGTAGAAGCTGCCAGGAACGATGGTCTGCTCCAGGCCGGTGCCCTGCAGGAGGAAAGAGGGAGGCAGACGGGGGCGGCAGCGGAAGAGTGACGTAGCAGTGTGTGGAGGGAGGCCAGCCGGACGCTCCACTGGAGCGGCAGCAGAGCGCCGTGGACGCCTGCAAACGGGCAGAGCACGCCACGGTCCAGACCCAGCGCAAAACCAGCGGCAGAGCCAGGGCTTGCCTCCAGGTCACAAGTGAAGGCCTTGACTTGCATGCCCTGCTGGAATGCCACCTCCTCGCTGCAGCTGGCGCCGCTCGTCTCAAACAGCGCGTCGCAGGCGTCGTCGCTCTGGCATGCGTCGCAGCTGGGGCCGTCCCACCCGGCCTTGCAGTCGCAGCGGCCGGTGGAGGAGTTGTAAGCCTGCTGGGCGGTGCACTCTGCAAGGGGCAGGGGGCAGGCAGGGAGGGAGGTGGGCAGGCAGGGAGGTGGGCAGGCAGGCTAAGGCCAAACGGGTCAGGGGTCAGAAGGGTGGGCACCGTGGACGGTCCCAAGCGGGGCTCTGCCGCGGCACCAGGCCGCCTCGGGCGTGCACCGGGCGGCTTCGCAAGCGCAGGGCCTCTGCCACAGGCACAGCAGCACTACCACCAAGCGCACAGGGGCGGCAGCGCAACCCAGCCCGCAGCACGAGGCGCACCCTTGGAGGGCTGGCAGGGCGTGTCTGGCGCCGGGGCGGGCGAGGCGGGCGGGGCGACGGGGCACACCGCCTGACCGGTGAGCTCCGCCGGGAAGCTGGAGCAGAAGCCGGACGGTACGGTGCAGTTGGCGCCGCTCCAGCCGCACTGGCAGGCGCAGCCCAGGGCGCCGTCGTCGGCCTGGGCGCAGCGCCCGTTGGGGCCGCAGTCGGCGGGGCAGCCCAGCGTGGCTTCCGCCACAATCAGGCCGCGGAAGATGTATTCTGAGATGCCTTCAATCACGTTGGTACCAAAGGTGGTGTTGTACGTGGAGCGTACCGCCCAGTCCACGGTCGCCGTCACCGTCAGGGTGTTGCCCTGCCAGGCGTGGCGGGGCAGCGCAGGGGAGCGGCAGCGTGGGTGGCCTGGAGGCCAGCCCGGCGCGACCTCCGCAGTGCAGCGCAGCGGCGATCCCATCACCCCGCAGCAGCAGGAGGGCGGCACCTAGTCAGCAGCAGCAGCACCCCCGCGGCAACAGCGTCCAGCAGTCGCCTGTGAGGCAGCAGCAGCAGCGGCGGCGGCGGCAGCAGCGGCAGCGGCGGCATTACAGCGGCAGATCTCAGCGGCTGCGCACGCTGGCAGCGCAGCGGCTGCTCTCGGCGGCAGCGGGTGCGTGCGCACCTGCGCGGCGGCGGTGACTGAGGAGGCGTTGGAGGCGGTGTTGCCGGCCATGGGCAGCAGCTCTGTGGTGATGAGGGAGGTGGAAAGCACGGAGCCCTTGACAATCACGCCCTCCAGGGTGGTGCTGTAGGCGCCTGCGCCGCCGCCGGGCGCCGCCGCCAGCGGGGCGCTGCTGACGTTGAACTCGTTGCCTCGGAGGTCCAGCGTGACAAAGGTGGAGCCCTGGAGCTGCGGCAGGCGGCGGGGGAAGGCGCAGCGAGCAGCGGCAGGAGCGTGTGTGATGGGGAGGCGGCGGAGGGCGCGGCCGGCACGGGGCAGCTGCCTCTGCGGCGGCCACATGTGCCGGCATGCTGCCAGCTGGCCAGGCTCCGCTGGCACCTCCTGCACCCGCCAGAGCACCCACCTCTATGCTTTCGGCTGGGTACAGCAGCAGCGGGGGCGTGGCGGCCGTGGTCTGCAGGCTGGCGCCCGCCAGCCGCTGCTCCACGCCGGCGGCGGTGGTGGGGCAGGGCCCGCCGGGCAGCACCAGCGACAGCGCGCCTTCAAACCCCACCAGCGCGTCTGGGAATTTGGGGATGAGCGGCTGCTGGATGGGCTGCACAACCGACGATCCCGCCATGGACAGAGAGGAGGCGCTAGCATTGAGGTAGAGTGTGAGCGTGCAGCCGGCAGGCGCCTGCGCCGCCACGCACGAGGCGCCCGCCGCCAGCAGCAGCAGCGCCGCCGCCGCCGCCGCCGCCAGCGACGAGGCAGGCCGGCGGCTGCTGCGCGCTGTCATGGATGTCGGTGTCTCAATCAGGGCTGGCTAGGGGGCTAGCAGGCGGGCATTCTGGTGGGGAGCGCGTTCAAGGCTGGCTGGACGAGGGTTGCAGGGCGCTGGGTAGGGCGAAGCAAGACCTACAAAGCCGGACAACCGCGTGTATGCTGTGCCGGACAACGCGGCCATGCCTTTTCAACAGCGGTTCGAGAGGCCGCGGCCCAAGGGGCCTGCGTGGCGGAGGGCTCTCCAGGAGATGGATCCTCCACCCCTGCCGCTCTTCCAAAATGCAAATTGCCACGAGCGTCGCCGATTGCAGACCAGGACGCCGCCCCTCCTGCCACGCCAGGGTTTGTTGCCGCGCGCAACTACCCACCGCCCAGGGTGTCGCGGAACCTCGGCCCTGCACCACCCTGTGCCCCACTACTGATCTCTTTTACCAGCTGCGTCCAATGGGGAGTACAGATTCAGAGCGAGGTGGCCATCAGCTCCACAACCTGCTCCTTGGTGTTGCCGCTCTCCAGCAGAAAGGCCACCATGCGCCGCAGGCCGTCCACCTCCACCCCCACGATGCTGGGCCGCCGCTGCACCACGCTGGCCGCCTCCTGCGGGCTCAGCCCCAGCTCCCCTGTGAGATACTCGAAGAACGGCTGCAGCCGCTCCTGGACGCGGTACGACAGCAGCGCTGGGTGCACGAGGATGGCCTGCGAGGCGGGCACAGGCGGGCACACGCGACGGCAGGGGCGCCAGGTGAGATGGCCGGCCACGCCAGCCAGCACCCTGCAGCCCATCCACCAGCCTGCTGGCCGCGACGGCTGCCTGGCTGAGCGAGCGCGCCCAACCGAAGCTCCTCCCGTGCGAGCACAGAAGCAGGCTGCGACGGCGGCGGCTTGCCTTCACGACCTGCTCCTGGCTCAGGCCGGCTGCCTGCAGGAACTCCACCACCGGCCTGAGGTCCGCCTCCACATCCAGCTTGCGGGCGTGCGGGTTGGCTGGCTGCTTCCTGTTGCGGGCAGCGTAGAGGCTGTTGGGGTTCATGGCGACATCCAGCACCCGGTTCACCTCCGCCTGGCTGTCGATGCCCAGCCCCCGCAGGAAGTTGCCGGCCGCCAGGAACGCCAGGTTCTGGCCCTGCGCGGGCTGCGTCAGTGCTGCAGGGACGAGGCCAGGCGGGGCACGCAGGGCGCAAGGTTGTGCGGGCGCAGAGCGAGCGAGCAGCCTGCCAATTCCACTGAAACAACTGTCATGCAGCGGTCAGTCCATGCACCTCATGCATCTGCACATTCTGCCGGCTGCGTCCAGCCAGGCGCACCATCTCGGAGCAGCCGTCCCACGTCGCCTTGCTTTGCCTGGCAGCTGGTCGGGCGGCGGCGGGTGGTGCCGCCGCTGCAGTGCCACCACGTCTGCCGCGCTGCTGCTGCATGTGCGCCTCTGGTGCCACATGCACCACCCGCTGGTGCAGGCCCAGCTTTGGATAGAGAAGGAGGGCGCATTGTCAACACCCGCTGGTCCAGTCAGACCGCTTGTAGCCGCAGCAGCTTGCACGATAGGCTGTGAAGGCCAAATGCTCGAACAGACGACGGACAGAGACTGAATCAAGGCCGTGGCATCCTGCGTGCTTTGCCACCTGGCGACCTTGCTCAAAAGCTGGGCACAGGGAGGCCGACACGGCTCTCCGCCAACCGGGATCGTGGCGCGCTGTGGCTGTAGCCGTGCCTGGTCGTTTCTGACCAAGCTGGTGATCACGCCGCACGCCCAATGGCCTTTTTCGACAGCTGGAGGCCGTGCAAGAGCGACACGGTGGTGGAGAGGCGAGTGGCGACCGCAGCGCCGCGGTTGCTGCAGTGGCAGGCAGGCGGCGGCCGACCGCGAGCCTTGCCGACGGGCCGCCGCCTGTATGCCGACAGCAGAGCACACCTGCCAGCGCCCGTGTCGCTTGTTCGACTGCCCTGCCTCGCCGCCTTCTCCTGCTGCCTGCAGCGACTGGAAGTGGTTCTGCCCCTACAGCCCCCAGTCGCTGCCGCTGGTGCTGCCCAGCGCCGCCGACGCCAGCCAGATGGTGCTGCCGCTGTTTGGCTCTGCCAGTGCCAGCCCCTCTGGCAGCGGCCTGGCGGCAGCCGCCGACGCAGGGCCCAGCACAAGCGCCGCCGCCGCCGCCAGCAGCCTGAGCAAGGCGGAAGCCAGGGACGTGCTGCTGCATGCCGGCGGGCCGGTGTGGGGCCTGGACTGGTGCCCTGCCAGCGGCGGCGGCGGCAGCGGCGGCGAGGGCCCAGCGGCATCAGTGAGAGGGTGCAACTATCTGGCGGTCAGCTGCCACCCGCTGGGGGCGCAGCATAATGTGATTGGCGCTCTTGTGCAGGCGCCGGCCTGCATCCAGGTTTGGGAGGTGAGCCACCCGGAGCAGGAGGCGGCGCCGCAGCCGCCACAGCAGCGGCAGCAGCAGCAACAGCAGCAGCAGCAGGCACAGCCGCCGCCGCAGCAGCCGCAGCAGCCGCAGCGCCCGGCAGGCCCGCAGCTGCCGCGGCTGGCGCTGGCGCTGGCGCACGGCGGCGGCCTGTGCTGGCACTGCCAGTGGTGCCCCGACCCTGGGTTGGCAGACAGCCCCACCGACGGCGGCGGCGACGTGCTCCCCAGGCAAGCAGCGGGCTGCGCTGCCGTGTGCGCTGCCGTGTGTGCACACGCTCAGCTGTGGCGCATGTACGCTGCAACGGTGGTTTGGCGGCAGGCAAGTGACGCAGGGCTGTGCCTGCAGGCTAGGCTTGGTGGCGGCGGCCCTGGGGGACGGCAGCGTGAAGGTGTGGCCCGTACCGCACCCTCAGGCGGTACAGCAGCTGCGTCCCGCAGCCACCCCCGCTCCTGCCGCCGACCCACTGGTGGTGTCGCTGCCGCCGGTGGCGGCCTGCAGCAGCGCGGCGCTGGGCGGCAGCCTGCCGTGCGTCGTTGAGTGGCTGCCTGCGCCGCCGCACGACCTGCTAGCGGTGGGGTGTTGGGACGGCAGCCTGGCCCTGTTCAAGCTCACCCCCGGGCAACCCCGGCCGCAGCAGAACGGCGGCCTGCAGCCACAGCAGCAGCAGCAGCAGCACCAGCACCAGCAGGTCGACAGCGGCAGCAGCGGCGGCGGCCGTGGCAGCAGCGGCGGCGGCGGCATGCATGGCCTGGAGCTTCTGTCGCACTTCTCTGCAGACGCGCTGCCGCTGCGTGCGGTGCGCTGGGTGCCTGCGGCGGCCTGCGGCGGCACCATCGACATGCTGCACCGCCACATCCTCCTCACTGCTGGCCATGAGGGCTGCCTGCGTGTGTGGGACCTTCGGTGCGTGGCCGGCACCCCCCTGGGGCGCAACGCATGCGCATGCTCCGGCGTGCACAGGCTCTTCAGCAGCAGCCCATGGAGGCGCCGCCGCCTGCACTGTATCTGTAGCCGGCCAGCCGCCCCCTGGCGCACCTGGCCTGAGAGGAGCGGGTGCCCGCCTGTGCTGCTGCTTGGGCCTGCTGCTGCTACTTGGGCCTGCTGCTGCTGCTGCTGCTGCCTGCAGGGACCCCTTCCAGCCGCTCTACTCCCACACCCTCTCCTCCAACTCAACGATCCTCTCAGGCGCGCCCGGCCTGCCGCTCACTCCACCCCCCCTCCCTGCCCCGCCCCGCCCTCAGCTGCCTGCCGTGCGCCGCCCTTGGACTTGTGCCGCCCAGCCTGCCGGGCACCCAGCCTGCCTGCTTGCTTGCTTGCATGTCTTGCCTCATGCTCACATTCTCCTGCCTTACACTCTTCGCCCCAAGTTTTTATTTTCCACCCCAAGGAGCGTGCCCTCGTCGGCTGCCCTGCGTGTGCGTGCGCAGGCGACTGGACCAGCCACCCGTTTGGGATCCTGGTGGCGATGGAGGATGCCAGCCTGCGGGGTATCGTGCTGGACTCAAATGCCATCGCCCGCTCGGTAGACTTCGGTGGGTGGGCTGGGGCCTGGCGCCGGCGCCTGGCAGGGGCTGGGGCCTTGTGCTTCACGGGGGGCAGGGCAGCGCCTGGGGCCTTGTGTTTGAAGAGGGGAGGGAAGGGCAGGGGATGGCCCTGGGGAGGCAGGGAGCCACTCGAATGGCATGGGGCCTTGGGCGTGGGCAGGGCAGGGGGCGTTTGGGGGCAGGCGCTTGCCCACCCCGCAACGTCCCCCTTGTCGGGCCGCCCCCCTCCTGGCTGCCGCCCCGCGCCGCCGGCCCCGGAACAGTGCCCCGCTGCCTGTTGCCTGCTGCCTGCCTGCCTGCCGCAGAGAAGAAAGCGATGTTCAGCATCAGCTGGCGGGGGCCCAACATGGGCGCGGTGTGGAGCGTGGCGGTGCAGCCCGACATGCAGGCGAGGCGCCGCCACCTGGCGGCCGCCCACCCGACCGCCGCTGGCCCGCACGCTTCTGCAGCGCTGCAGCTGCGCTCGGGCCACAGCAGCTGTGCACTACACATACAAGCACACAACCAGGCGCAGGCAACACATGCATGCATGCATCAGCACACACCTGCCAGCCTGGCCGTCCCGCCTCGTCCCACTCTGGCACGCAGGTGGTGGCATATGGCGGGGAGGACGGTGAGGTGGGAGTGTTTCCCGCCGAGTATGAAGCCAACTCGCGGCGGCGCGTGCCGCACACGGCGGTGGCAGGTGCGCTCGTGTTGCGATGTGGTCGTGGGTTGCACGCTGTGCAGGCCACGCGCCGGCCTGCTGTGGTGTTCTCTGTCTGCGGGGCACGGCACGGCTCGGCAGGCAAACCCCGCAGCCAGGCCTGCATGCGGCTGGCTGGCTGGCTCGGCGCCCAGGGGCCCTCGCCTCTCCAGCCGCGGCGGTGGTGGGCTGCTGTGCAGCGGTGCGGCTGGAGGGCGGCGCGCTGGTGGTGAAGCTGCAGCGTGAGCTGGTCCAGGAGCATGGGCTGTTCAGCGGCAAGGTCGTCGAGCGCATGCCCAACTTGAAGGGCGCCCGGCTGCCAGGTGGGCTGTGTGTGTATGTGTGTGTGTGTGTGTGTGTGTGCGCGTGCGCAAAGGGCAGGGGAGGCTGCGGGAGCGTCAGCCAGTGATGTGTGCTTGCTGGGACTGATTTGCATTCAGGGGTTGCTCCTGTGAGAGACTGCAAGCATTGCTTACTGCGTCCTTTCTTCCTGGGGTGCAGACGAGCAGGAGGCGGTGCATCGGGTGGCGTGGAGCCGGCACGCGGGCGGCGCCGGCGCCTGGCTCGCCAGCGGCGGCGCTGCGGGGCTGGTTCGCATACAGTGGATCCAGAGCAAGTGAGGGCCTTCGATTGACGCATGCCTGGGAGTGTTTCATGCAACGCTGCAACTTCAGCGCATGGGCGGCGCCCAGGCAGGACGGTGAGGCGGGACACTATCGCAGATGACCCTAAGAGGCTCTCCAACAGGGCCTCCCGAGGTTGACGCACTCTCCTCCCTGCCACTCCACGACACTCGTTTCCGGTTCCGAGCGCGCTGCCAAGCCAATCTACTGCGTAGTCTCCTACTCCTCTCCCACGTGCTTGCACGCCCGCACAACACCGCACCTAATGGCAAGCATGCTGGCGACATCCGTGTCAGCGTGCCGACTGAAGGCGCAAGCCGCCGGCTCCCCGGGGCCATCCCACACACCTCGGCGGCCCACACACAGGGCGCCGCCGCCGCTCCAGGCCCTCACCTTCCGGGTCCAGCCCTCCAGCCTGACCAGCACAGCCACCAGCTTCAGCAGCGGTGAGGCCCCAAGCTTCCCCTGGCCCCAGCCGTCCATGGCCCAAACCCAGGCGCACCAGCAGCCCCAGGGCGTCTGGGCCTCCTTGTTTGCCACCACGGTGAGCTGTGGGCGGGTCACGAGGCCGTTGTAACGGCCCGGTATTGCATGCAATTGGCGACTCAGCGGCGGCGCCCACTCCCGACCACCTGGCTCCTGCCGCCCTGACCCTCTCTCTCCTGCTTGGTGCAGGCCGAGTCGGCGCCAGTGGAGGCCGCTCTCCCACCCGAAATGGACCGCCTGATGCGCTTCACTGACGGGCCGGGGGCTGTGGAGCAGGAGGCAGAGGGCATGCCGCTGCTGGCCCGCCTCTGGCGCTACCAGGGCCCCTGAGCGCCCCCGCGAGCCCCAGCCGGCAGCCTGCGCCGGGTCGCCCCGGCGCTGCCACCTTGACGCAATTTGTTCGTGCGGCAGTCCTGCACCCTACATGCGGGATGCCGCACCCCTGGCGCTGGCGGCGGGGCAACGCAGCCCTGTTGCCCCACACATACAACCCGGCGACACCCCGAGCCTGGGCCGGTCGCGGCCAAGGCCCACCCAGCCGCCAGCACGCCACGCATATACTTGACAGCCCGCTGCCCTGCAGCCCGCCCTGTGTACCACCGCACACAACTCACGACGCAACATCTGCCCGCCCGTCTCCCCCCGCCGGGCGCCCTTTTCCCCAACCTCCCGCAAGTTTTGCGTAACCGCCTCCATCCATCTGTATCTATCAGCTACCTCCCCCCCTCCTTGTTGCCACCAGGCGCCTGCCTGCCTTGTTTTCCGGTGCTAGTACTCCCCAGCCCCTTAGCGAATCTTCATGCCGGCGGGCGCTGCCGGCCGGCGTGGCTAAATCTGTGCGGCCAATGCCGGCGGCGCCCCCGCCCCCTTGCGTAGCTCGTTGCAAGCCCCCGCTTGCTGGCATTTTCTGGCCAAGTAATCAAATTTATTATTGCCCCCCAATTGCCACCACCTTGCCATTCCGAGGCCAGTTTTGTTCATCCTGTGACCTCACTCACTCCAGCGTGTAACCACCCAGTTGCTACAGAAAGCAACGTTTGCGCCTTGGGTTGGACGCCGGCCGAGCGCCCCCGCTTGCGTGCAGTGTTACAGGCAGTGCTGGCGGGAATGGGAAAATGTGGGGGAGCAGGGGGAGAGCATCAAGCAGGGACAAGGCGCAGCGAAATGGAGGGGAGGCAGGGAAGACGCGTCACATTGGCAGCAGCGGATGGCGCTGCCCGCAGCAATCAAGACAGCCCGGGGGGCGCAGCCGCGCGGGCGGGGGGCGGCGGCCTGCCCGCAAGCTCCTAGTTGTGTGGTGGTGGTTCTATACGCGCTCGGGACATCTGGTGGGGCTCTAAGGGACCTACGCACCAAGCTTCCTGGCCTACCTAAAACAGTCAGACATAAGCGCAGGCCGGCGCCCGGCGCGAGCCGACGCCGGTGGCGGGCAGCCAGCGGCGCGGCTCAGCCAGCCTGCCATCATCGCCCTATCGAGCCTGCAGGCGTGCATGCAACCCAAGCCATCAGCGACGGCAGGGCGGGCTGCCCCTCCGGCCGCCGCGCAGGCAGGCTACCCGCTGTGCAGGGTACGGGTCGAGGCTGCTGCAGGCAGCCAGGCAGATAGGCCAGCGCCCGGCTGCCACAGCAGCAGGCCTCCATGCAGCCAGCCAGCCAGGCCGCCGCCCACCACCCCACCCACCCACCCACCCACCGTAGAAGAGGTAGAGGGAGTTGGAGGCGGCGGTGGCGATGACGTTGGCCCGCGGGTGCCAGCTGAGGTGCAGCAGCTTGGTGGAGAAGTCCTGGGCAATGGCCTCCTCCCCCGCGCTGAAGCTGCCGCCGCGGCTGCCCCGCCCGCTGCCGCGGCTCAGGCCGAAGCGGGAGGGCAGCTTGGCGGAGGACTGCAGCCGCTTGCGGGTCGGGTCGCGGCTGGCCTCCAGCAGGCAGTCGCCGGCGCCGGCGTGGCCCACCACCCTGCGGCGCGCGGCAGGCGGGCAGGGCAGCTTGCAACTTGCCGCCGGCCTCAAACCCTGGGCTCAGCCCCTGACACTCTTGAAAAACACACCAACAAAGCCCAGCTCCTTGCCAGCGCCTGGCTGGCACCTCCCAATCCAGCTCCTGCACCCCCACAGGCCCGCCCACCCTCCCAATCCAGCTCTTGCACCCCTGCAGGCCCCCACGCCCTCCTGAAGGAGCTGGAGCAGCCCACTCCTCCCCTCCGCCCCCACAGGGCCACCCACCCAGGGCCCCCCCCTTCCCACACACACACACTCCTCCAGCCCACCTCAAGGAGTTGGAGCAGCCCCCCCCCCCCCCCCCT